TTCTGCTGAACGAACAAGTTTATCGTTCCCGTATATAAGTTTGGTAACTGTGCCAAGTGCCAATGAGTCTCTTTTCAGTGTCACTGTGAATTATTACAACCTCGCCAACTCGTATAGTGTTGTGTTTACTTCCAGACGTTGTGTGTCTTTCACGGAGTGCCGTCAAATATTCTGTTGACCAGCGTGTCCAGAACTGTACATGGAGGCGAGACAAGTGTTTGTAACGGTCGTTAATTTCCTCGTGTTGAGTGTAGGACGGGTCGTAGATTTCTTCATCAGACACGTTTATATACGGTAGTGCTGTGACTTGTCGTCCGTGTAGTAAATGGTTCGGTGTCAGACCAACATTGTCATCCAAGTTTGACGATACATACGTTAATGGGCGGTCATTTAGTACGGTTTCAATTTCCGTTACAACTGTGGAAAGTTCGTCAAAACTAATTAGAGAGCGACCTAACGTCTTTTTAATTGCGTTTTTGGTCAGTCCGATGAGTCTCTCCCAAAATCCGCCAAACCAGGGAGCTTTCTTGGGTATAAATGTCCACTGTACTCGATGTGTGGCCGAGTATTCGCGTATTTCCGGTGTATCGACGAGAGCATGAATCTCCTCGGCAGCGGACAGGTAGGTCGATGCGTTGTCTGAAAGCATCCAGCTTGGTAGAGACAAATCGACAAATCGGGCACCAACTCGAGGTGTATGGCGCGTGTCACCGCACAAGTGAAGAAGCAAACGTAAGCTTTGCCACGTGTCCCATCAGGAGCCTTGGTCAGTAAAAAACCAGTAAAGTCCACGCCGGTGATTGTGAAAGCAGGCAATTTATTCACACGATAGCTTGGCAGTGGAGCTTGTACAGGATTGGCGTATGCTTTCCCTTCAACTCGTCGGCATGTTACACAACCACGAAGAATACTGCGTACAATTTGTCGAATTCGCGGAATCCAGTATTGTTGGCGAATTTGAGTCACAGTGGATTGGACTCCTTCGTGCAAAATCAATGAATGCGCCTTCAAAACGATTAACTTAGTCAGTTCGTGATTAAAAGGTAGTAATGTCGGAAATTTCGTTACAAATTCAATGGGTGCGTTATGGATCCAACTTCCGCATCGAAGGACGTCTTCTTCGTTTATAAATAGACCGAGTTGTTGTACAATAGGTCCTAGTTTGGTGTGTTTTGTTTTCAATTCATGAATTGTATCTCTGAATTCCTGTTGTTGAACGTTTAAAATCCACACGTGTTTGGCTCATTTTAACTCATCGGCAGTTATTAATCCAGTATTAATTGTGTCAGCCTACTTTACGCGGGAAATGAATCGCATTACGTATGTGGTTACACGTAGTAATTTGTCGATTGAGTTGTACCTGGAAATGTCATACTGTGTGTAAACCGATT